GGGGGGGGGGGGGGGGGCGAGCATATATATATATATATATATATATATATGGTCCCCGCGAGTTATCTACCACTTTTGTGTAAATCCTGCGTAGTCTGCCCCTGACCCCCTCCCCCCTCACTTATCTATCGGTTTAACAGACTGCTCTGTATGTGTAGTATATGTGCAGAACTACAACAGTGCAACAGATGCTAGAGGACATGCTTGCACACGTGCATTGAGAGCAGTCCCTATGCATCCCGAGTGCTGCAGTTCAATCCACACGAACCCACACGTGAGGCCCATTGAAATCAATAGGGCTGTCGGATTGAAGATTGAAGATCTCACAGATAACTGTCCCAGGCATCTCCAATATTCAATCCGGTACACATAGACATAGCTAGTTTGCAACCATGTAGTAGCAGCCGCAGCAATGACAACATCAAGACTGCAAGAATACTGCATAGTTGGCTACATATACGCAAGCATAACCTTTTGCATATGCGTCAGATACAAATGGAGTACAGTGTCGCCACTTACACAGACCATGGTCTCTATACACAGATGTATATACATATAGGCACATTCCAGATAGCATTGAACATACAAGCGGACCTCCAAAACCGGATAAACAAAAATGTCTAGAACCAAATGCTTGTACAAATCTACCTATGCCTGTAATGTTAGTATTGATGTGTTACCCGAGGTTGCATAAAACGCATATCTGTACAGAAGTTTTTGTGTGCATGTCGTGATGAACGCACTCATGATGTAACAGGAAGAAGCTCGTGTTGGGGAAGCTAGGACGGCTAAGATGAGACAAAAAACAACAAGACAAGGAACTGCGTATGTGCATATGTACCCCCATAGTAATCTCGCGTGTCGCCGCCTCAATGTGTTTTGAGATTCCATGAGTTTTGACTCGGGGGGCCTGTTTAGTTGAATAGTCTCTGTTGCATAATTTGGTGCTTGTTACAGGTTGCCGCAATACTAGATAAACATGCTTGTACACATACACAAGTGGTAGCAACAGCAAAACTGACTGCCGAACTGAATTCTTGTATAGTTGATTACATATACACCAAGATTCAAGATAGTCGCTGGAATTTTCGTAAGGTCTAGCATATAGTATATAGGGTTTCTTCGGGCGTTAAAGTTGAAAGCTTCTCTAGCAGGGGGTGCAGTCCAGAGTTTTGACAGACCCAAGAAGAGAACTCGATACGTCTTTTTGCAGGGGTCCATGCACCTACAAGAAAGGCTTTTGTGGAGATTCTATCAGGGTTGTATCAGGGTTCTTCATAGGATTTATCGGGTATCTATAAAGGATTTAGAAGGCTTCCCTAGAGATCTATAAGGGCTCTAGAAACGATTTCTCTAAGTGTTCTATAAGCAACCTATATGGACGTTTTGTGTTTAAGAGCTTCAGAAGACCAGGGGCCTCAATATACAAACCCCAAGTAGTAGGATACTGTCAGTTCTTACCTGAAAACCTTGGTCTTTGAGCGGGGGAGTAGCATATTTGTTACCCCCACTCCCCCCCCACTCAAAAACCAAGATTGCTTTTTAATCCCACATGCAAGAAATCCTAATCTATGGTCTTTGGGGATTTGGGGGGGCATGGTACCAATCCCAATCCCCTCCGCACTTTGGCATCAACCAAGCATGCCCCTTTAATCGCTAAGAAGAGCTTCAATCCGGGATGCGTCGCAGCCCGGGCAATGGGCCAATTCGGTCATTTCCAGCTAGATAACCCCGGGGCGGAACATGCATATATAAATGTATATATGTACATACATACGTACATACATACATACATACATACATACATACATACATACATACCCTTTTACTTATACATATAAGTATACTTACACACATATATATATATATATATTAGAGAGAGAGAGAGGGAGACAGACAGAGACTATAGCAGCATGTTACGCAATACTTCTTCACACTACTTATAAAGCAGACCCCCTCGTAGCAGCCCTCAACTTTCGAATCCGCCTCGTCCTGGGGCTGACGAGAAGGTCGCGCCTGTTTGAGAACCTGTTCGGCTTCAGGTTCGTAGGGCCTGGAGGTTAAGGGTAGAAGGGGTTTCGGGCTTAGGGTTTGGGGTTTGGGGTTTAGGGGTTTAGGGATTTAGGGGCTTAGGGTTTAGGGTCTTGCTTTGGGGACTATAAGGGTACAATAGGTACGAGCGGGGGTGTAGGGTCCTCCTGAAGTCTTCTGCCGACTTTTTCGCGGGGCTCTGGGTCTCCTTTGTCTGTGCATCGTTGTAGGCTCTTTCACTCTAAGGTTGAACCCATGGGCCCCTAGTAGAGGCCCTTACCCCTGGGATCCTTATACACCTACTATATACCCTATGTGTACCCTTAAGGGTCCCTAGAAAGGCCTAAGGGTCCATATTAGGGGCCCATACTTCGAACCTTAGACACTCTAAACCCCTCAACCCTCAACCTTAAAACCTAAAAC